TGTGTTCATTAACCTTTAAGTGGCAGCCTAAGGCCACATCACAGAGCCTACATCATGCACCTCACTTCCTCTGATCATGTGGGATTTTGTCTCAGGTCATAGGAAGGCTTAGTACAGTATAGCGCAATATTTTCTGAGAGAAAAAGGCCACATTCATGCAACTTTTGTTGCAACCTATTGTTAGACTTGTTCTGTTCTGTTATTAGTTATTGCTATTACCCTCTGATTGCACTTGGTTCACCAGTTATCATGGGTGTGCATGCATAGGAGAAAACAGTGTACACAGAATGAGCTGCTACTGGGATTCTAGGAATCTAGTGACTGCTGTGCAGCTGGGGCGAGGCCCTGGCACATGCCAATGGAGCCCACGTGCTTGTCTGTAGAATCTGACACCTTCTAGGCCACGCTGGTCCTCACCCCTAGCACCTGCAGCGCTCCTTCAAAGAAGAAAAGCAAAAAAGATTCCAAGATCAAGTCAAACACATTTCTACACCATGCCTACTGTTGCATTGGGCTCTCTGAGATGCCCCCTCAGCACATTGTCAGATGACAGACACTGAGAAGCGCAACAGGGAAGAAAGTGGCCAAGTCTCATTGTAGTTTGGACCTCACTCTTTCCCTCCTCCAGCATTGGTGAGCCTCCAGAGCTGACGAGGAGGCGGGACCACCTAGAACTGCCACCCATGTGTCATGGCAACAAGCATGGACCTTCCCCAGCCTGGAGCCAGCACCAGGAGTTCTAGAGCCACCCCAGAGTGGGTAAAGAGGTGCCCAGGGCAGGTCACTCTGCTTTCTCCAGCCTGTGGCCAATCTAACAAGGAGGGGACTGGACACAGTGGTTTCCAAAGCACCTGTCACTTCTACCAGGCTGATCTCCCAAAAGGCCGAAAGCTATTTCTATTTCCCAGCCTGCCATCAAAAATCAGTACCAGCCACTATGGCATCGGGGTGAAAGAGCCAATGGGCACACGTTTATTAGGTGCCCACTGTGTACTTGGGCAAGTACCAAACAGAAGGGCGCATCAGGACACCAATCTTGGGCAACTTGGTCCCTCCTGGTGGTCCTTTGAATGGAAGAAAGAATTCAGTGTCAGAAAACCCAGACACACAGCTTTGTCCGCCTGGCCAGGTAACTGACCTGGGCAAGTTTCTTACCCAGGTAGTGGCTGTCTGTGACCAAGGAACAGATCTCTACCCTGAGTAGTTCGAACAGAAATACATTTGTTTGCTGTCCTGAAGACTGGCACCCGCTATCAAGGTGTGGGCAGGGTGAGGCTCCCTGAGAGCATCTCAGGAGAATCCTTCCCACCTCTTTCAACTTCTGCTGGTTGGTTGCCAGTGCTCCTGGGTTTGGGGCTGCATCCCCTTAGTCTCTGCTCTGTCTCCGGTTTCCATGCTCTTTCTCTTGCAAAGATCAGCCTTGGAGCTTAGGGTCCAGTGTAAATCTAGGGTGATTTTTATATTGAGACCCTTAACATATTTACAGCTGCAGAAACCCTGTTTCCAAATACAGCCCCCTGCACAGGTGCAAGGCTCAGGACACGGACATATCTTTTAGGGTGCTGCCGTTCAGCCTCGGCTTCCTTACCCTCCCAGCCCCCATCTCATTGTGTGGTTGTGAGGATTTAAGAGGAAACCAGCATAAGTCCTCAGCACCGCCCCTGGCCATCACTATTGCTAGTGTCCATCCATCCACATGTGCGAGGACGTCACCAGGAACGGGGCTGTGACTGTCCTTCCAGCTCTAACTCTGCACGACGCCCTTGAGTCTAAGTGCTATGGCTGTGTGCCACCAGAGTGGTAATTTGGGTGACGTAGGGATTATGACATGAATGCTTTTCACGTTGTGTCATGAGCTCCCAACTACAACTCTAGACATTTGTCACTTGATTGCTCATGACAGTTGGAGCCGGAGAAATCACCTTCCTTGAATTCCAAGTGGACTCTGAGCTGCTGGGCATGAGGAGGACTTCGGGCAGTCACTGAGGCACTCTCACCCATTCCTGTACCCGTGGGTGCTGTTGGAGCTTGAGGGCAGATTGGACACTGTCCAGGCCTGAGGAAGCTCAGTCCAGCACCACATGGCCCCTCTCCTAGAACCCTGGGGACGGAAAGAAGAGGGACCGCTCATGACTCGTGCAGGGAAGGATGACCCTGTGGGCTCAAGCTCAGCTTTGGGCTCGGTGGTGGCACCCAGGTGGAATCCTAAATAACGTAGCTCCAGGCCCTGCATTGCTGGAAAATCAGTGAATATTTGCTCCCCAGAGGCTTAAGGAGAAGGAAGCTCATGACCTTTAGACTCGGGCTGATCTAGGATGGACAAGAAGGGACAGATGGAAAAAAAGGTGCAAAAAGTACAGCTGCAGGCTCTGCAGAAGGAAGCAGCGCTGGCTCTGCCGCGCTCAATCTCTGGGTGCGTGGCCCCCGTCCCTCTGCAGGGGTGGTGGCTGTAAACCACGGTATGCAATGATGTTCTCTTTGTCTTGTCTCTGGCAGCTCCAGAAGTCTTCCAGGTGTACGTGGATGGAGGCCCTGGGTACTCGTACCCCGTCGACTGGTGGTCCCTGGGCATCACGGCCTATGAGCTGCTGCGGGGCTGGGTGAGATGCTGGGATATGAGGATCAGAGGGGGTGGGCTTGCAGCACAGTGGGCTGAGGGGGAGCAGGTAGGAGCTGGACCAGCTTCTGGCTTCTGCGCCACCGCGACAGGCCCTGGGCAGTAGGACACCCCCCCACACCCGCCCCCACACCCCTACCATGAGCTCTGGTCCAGCCCCTCATTCTACTGCTGGGAAAGGGGCGCCCAGAGGGGAGGCTCTCACACGAGGTCTGCAGGTGATCAGCGCCAGACCAAACCCCAAAGCACCTTGGCCTCGTGATTTCAAGCCCTCTCCCCTTCGAATCCACAACACAGTGCTTCAAAGCCCGGGATCCTGGATGGACTGGAAGCCCCGTAATAGTGAAGATTAGGAGAGGGCCCTTCCTTTTCCTTTCTCTCTCTCTCTTTTCTTCTGTCTTGTGTTGTTGCTATTGTCAGTGTTTTTCTGTTAGGGTCATATCTTCCCCAGAATACATTAGTCAGTGCCCTATATAAATGACCTGAGATGCTCACTGGCCATTTTTATTTTGTTCTTTTACATGTCATAGCTGAAAATGACTAAAGCGGCAGCTTGGCAACTCATAACTCATACTTTTATTTGAGCAGAAAGTTTTATGGCTAAGACTAATATCGAGGCATGTTTTCATTGCACCAGTATCTTTTGAAAATGATGTCACCACATCCTCAGGACCCCTTCCTCATCGGTACAGCAGCGATGATAACACCCTTTCCAGCCCCCTCCAGGAGCGGGCTGGAGGATTGCATGCACAGGACGGGGGGGAGTGGTCTGTGTCTTACTCCTCTTATAGCTCCAGAGTCCACAGGCTGCAATTTTAACATTGTTTTGAAGTCATTCGCATACATGCATATTCATGTCAGCGGAAGGCAGCCTTCTGAGGATGTGGCAGGGTATTAGTCACCAGTGCACGGTGACAATGGAGGCTGAATGGTTGCTCCCTGAACAAATGAGGACAGCAGTGTATAAAACATAAGCCCTCTGAGTGCTAATATTATTTATCATCCTCTAGGTTAGGCAACTACTTCCTGCTCTTGATCTCAATTCTTCACCCAAGTCATCTCTGAATTCCTTGAAACATAATTATTATACATAATGGTTTTTAGAGTGCAAAGAAAAGATAAACATTTTCTTGGGAGCTGGGTGAATATCCCACAGGTTTGCTTGTTCCTGGTTGGCTCTTGTGGTTCAGCTGATACCTAGCAGGGAGGAGGAACGCCAGGGTCAATGCTACCATGGGAGTGGCATACACAGGTGTCCACCAGACGCTGATAATCTTAAATCCATCACACTGTGGCCTTGGCCAGCTGCTGCCCTAAGCATAACTGGCTGCTGCCAGCAGAAAAGACTGCAGCGGTTCTTCCTCAGGGGTCCGTCAAAGATGAGGGCCTGCAAAAATCTCAAAGGTGAAGCCCCAGGTCAGCCAGGGGCCTCTGGCATGGGGACAAAGTATGGAATGAAGAATACCTGTTATGAACTGGCATAAACCTCTCTCCTAAATGCTGCTGCTTGGTTTAACCTTTCATCCTAAGGGCAATAGGACTGTAGCTCACTCTCAGTATTTCACAAGGGATTTAGTCCAGAAACCACACTGAGAAACACCCCTCCTTACCCGTGGACTGTGTGCACGTAGAAGTTACCCTTCCTTCTTACTCCTCCTGAGTCATGTCAGCCTCAGCACCCCCACAGTTCCCATGGAAGACGAAAGAAAGGTTAGTTGATTACCATAGGGATCCAGATAGCTTCTCACCTCAAGAAAGAATCGATTTCATTTTAGACAGCTCTGATGACATAGGTTTCCTCTTGCTCAACTGAAAGCTGCCTCCTTGTAACAGAGACAGAACCTTGGAGGAATCTCACAGGCTCAGGCCCTGACTCTCCCAGGTGCCTCACTGCAGCCAGCAGTCTGTAAGTGGCAGCCTCCTTCTCCTGGCCTGTGGGACTTCCTCCACGGCGGGGCCCACTGACAGGCCTGTGTTCCTTCCAAGGTGGCACCCTCCAAATGCTAGAGCCAACTACCAAGATGTACTGGTCAGCTTTTTGTCCCTGGAACAAAAAGCCTACCACAGAGGAGTGCTGTCAGCATGGGCTTGGAGTGGTCCCAGAAAGCCCATTCTGTGGTGCTGTGGGATTTGGCCTGGTGCTGATCACCCATGGACCTTGTGTGACAGCCCTCTGCTCTGGGCAGAATGAGGGGCTGAAGCAGACACACAGGATTTAAAGGAGGAAAGGCGTTACTTTTTCAGCTCACAATTTGAGAGGATTTAGCCCTTGGGCGTCTGGCTCCAAGATAAGAACATGGTGACAAAAGGGAATGGTGGAGCAAAGCTGCTTAGTTCATGGTGTCCCAGAAGCTGAATGGGGAACAGTGGCAGAAATGAGAACACCTGGGAGCATATCTAGCACCCAAGCCACACCTCCATGACCCACAAGACACCCACAAGGGTGCTTTCCTAACCCCCTGGGCAGTTCATAAACCAACCAAGTTGTCAGTTAAGTTTAACCGTCACACTGGATCACACCTAGCTGCCGACCATTAGCAGTTTGGGTTTTGAGCTTGATGAGCAGAGGTGCTCCTTGATGCCGTAGTCAACACATCTGACCGTGGTCTTCTTGTGCATAAAGGGGATAATGAGGCTAACTTAAGGGTCGCGGTGGGATTTAGTGAGAAAGGTGGCGGGACCCCCAGGCAGCGTCCGGCACATGGGCACATGCTGATCACTAAGCATGTGTGCAGTAAGGGGCTGCACACGATAGTGGGTGAGGGCAAGCAGGGACTAGAGGTGGAGGAGACGGAGAGCTCCTGAGGGAGGAGAAAGCTGGCTCGGATGTGGATGGGGGGTGGCACTAGTGTGGACACAGACAGTGAAGAGGAGGTTGACGTTGACTCATGGATGGCCAGGGAGGCAGGGGGCTTCACTCTAGGTAGAGCAGGGCAGAGCCTTCACTGCTACTTCAGCAAGAAAGCAATGGCAGTGGTGGTTAGTGGTTAATGAGAGCACAGGTTTTGGAATCAAGTATTCCTGAGTTCAAATCCTGACTGTGCCACATCATCTCTGAGTGATCTGTGGTGAGCCTGTTTCTGGCCTACGAAATGAGGGGGCAGCAGTGCAGGGCATAGTCCTAGGGTTTCCACTTCAGGACTATGGACATTGGGGCCTTAATTATTCTCTGGGTGGGGCTGTCCAGTGTGTTACAGGCTGACCCTCACGTGCCTGCCCTCCTAGCTAGAATCTAGTAGAAATCCCCCTTACCCAGGTATAACCATTAAAAATATCTCTAACCAGTGCCAGATATCCCCTGGGGGCAAACTGCCTGGGTTGAAAACCACCAACCACACACTGTGGTTGACCGTAGAGATATCCAGAGGATTAACTGAGGCCCTAAATGTGAGGCTCCTGATATGGGCTTGGAGTGACCCCAGAAGGTGCACACACCACCACCTCCTTCACCAGTGTTACTTTGACCCAAGTTAGCTGCATAAATGGACAAGCTGGGGGTATAGAAAGGTCAACGCATGTAAGAAGGGTGTCTGGAGCTCCCCCTACAGGTTGGAGTGCATTACTAAGAATAATGGGAGGGCATATCTGGTAGGCTCAATCTAACAAGAGGAGGAGGCCTTTGATTCCGGTGCTGACTTCTGGTCTCTTAGTAAAGCAGACAAAAGTCAGGAAGCTGGGAGGTAAAAGACCCCCTTCCAAAACAGGAGGAAGAAACCTCTTGGATTGTCCTGGAGTTTTAAGCTGTTTCCTGGACTCTGGACCCCTGCAGAGGTAATTGAACAGTTCCAGAGGGGGGAAGTCTTCTCAAGCTTTAGAGGTCTAAAATGCCCAAGGAACTGTTCTCCACTTTTATCTCTTCTGTACTGGCATTTGGACTAAAGAGACTGGGGGGAGGGGACATTGGATTAGATGGTCTCCAAACCGCAGCTCAACCCTAACAGTTAAAGTAACTAGTCTATAGCAATTCTTTTCCTCTGTATTCCCTCTGTTTCTTGGTAAACTGGTACTTTTTGTAAACTGAGTCTCCTGGAATAGAGACACCTGCATTTCGTAATGAGTATATACACAGTGTCCTGCTGCTGAAAGCGCTTTTACCTGAGCACATGCAGTCACTTTACTTTGTAAACCCCTAGCCTCCCTGAGTCAGCCCATACCAAGGCCAGCGAGTGAGCAAAGGCTAGCATCAGTAGTGTTCTTCACCACCATCAGATAGGATGTTAATCTTAATATCCACCAATTATTCCTGCACGAGTACATGGGTCTCCCTAGCACCACTCAAACAGGCAAGGGCTACACCTGGAACCTAGAGATTTGGGAGTGTTCGGGCTCGGGCTGATTTCTAAATGCATTTGCTACATTGGCCTTGTGGTGTGTTACAGTTCTCATAACTCTTGGTGGTGGTGGTGGTGGTCTGAGTCCCTGCAGAAGGAGAGAGAACTACAGAGTTTAGGGAGGGTGGCTCACTTGGAGGTCTGAGGGCAACAAAAAACTAATCCAAGCAAAAACTAGTCCAAGCAAGAGACAGAGGTGCGGGAAGTCTTTGCCTTTGTTCTGGCTGGTCCTGCCCCTGGGCATTGGGATTTGCAACTCTCTGGAAGCATTGCAGAAAGAACTTGGTCAGACACTTGGAATCTCTCTGGGACACTGAGAAAGTCTTTTTTTACCTCTGAGCCTCAGTTTCCTGACTTTTCAATGAGAATGAGATGAGACTTTCTCCCAGCATCCCCAGACAGCTAGCACAGAGTGGGAACAGTACACTGAAAGGAAAAAGATGGGAGGACAGAATCCATGACAGTCCAGAAGCCCCTCTAGCAGCACCCTCACTGTGTCTCGGTGGCAGTGCCAAGTTCTGGCCACCTCATAGAGATTGTGGGCCGTGCCAAGATCCTGGCACCCCACAGCTTTCTTCCCAGCACCCCATCCACACCCAACAGCTCCGCTGCCTGTCTCCCTCTGCCCCCAGCCAGCCAGTCCTGGGTGGCAGGGCTGTCTGTCCTGCTGCCTTGGGCTCTGACCCCAGAGGGCAGCAGCACATCTCAGGAACAGAGGGCCAGACCCTGGGGTCAGAACTCTGCACGTGGACATGGGGGTGGCTGCATTCGTTTTCTGTGCCTCCATAACAGAGTCCCACGGGCTGGGGCTCGAGCGGGAGACATCCTCCTGCAGCACTGGAGGCTGTAGGCAGGGTTGGCGCTGAGCTTGTGAGGAAAGCACTGCTCTAGGCGCCTCCGCTTGGCTTGCACATGGCTGCCTTCTTCCTATGTCCCTTTATGTCATCCGTACCTGTCAGTCCTGCCCCCTCTCAGACCAGTCCAGCCGGGACAGGGAAAGACGGCAGCCAAGGTCCACCAGATGATGAGGCCTGTGCCTGTACCTGTACCTGGGTACCCAGTGGGTAGACGGAATCAACACCTCGGCCTGTGACCAGGACAGGGACCCAGGCCAGCATGCCGGTATGACTTGTGCCTCTGCCAGTGATGGAATAAATGACTTCAGAGAGCCACCTGGCCTCCGTGGCTCTGACAGCGCCACCCTCCTGCTGGGCCCTGCACTGCCCCTTGGCTGGCTCCTGTGGTCACACAGCTCCAGGCCACCAGACTGCCATGAAAGAAGGCCACCTGCTATGACCTGAGGGGAGACTAAACCGTCCCTGGTCCTCACACCCCTGGTCTGACTCTGGCTGTCCCTTGCTTGCAGAGGCCCTATGAGATCCACTCCTCCACGCCCATCGACGAGATCCTCAACATGTTCAAGGTGGAGCGTGTTCACTACTCCTCCACGTGGTGCACGGGCATGGTGGCCCTGCTGAAGAAGGTAAGGGCAGCCCCAGCCTGCAGCGTCCTCTCGTGTAGACTTGGGCATGCAGGGAGTGCGGGAATGGGACACGGGGAGAGCGGAGACACGAAGGCTGGGCTCCACGGCCACAGGATGCAGACAGACCGGAAGGAACGTGGACCCCGTGACCCCGAGTCCCAGTTGCTCGTCCCTCCACCACCAGTTCCTAGTAAGTAGCCACACTTCATGACTGTGGCTTGAGCTTAACCCCTTGAGCTTCAGGAAGCTGGGCACCTCCAGACCTCCAGCAGGAGCTGTTGCTGGTAGAATAAAGTGCAGGTTGCCAGTGTGGTTCCCGGGCCCAGCAGTGTCCCCTGTCACCTGTGCAAATGCACACTTCCAGCCCCTCCACGCTCGAGTCAGACCCTGGGCTTGGCCCTTCTCTCTGTGTGTGGCACTTCCCCTGGCTCAGTTGCCAGCCCCAGTTTGGCAAAGGCAGGAGGTTTGAGTGCCCTCTAGGTTCCCTTCAAATGCATAGACCCAAGTCTGGGGCATCGTTGGCACAGCCATTTGTGCAAGGACAATGATAACAGCTGTGGTGTGGTGGGAGGGCTCGTCTCCCATTGTCCCCATGCACTGTAAGCGGGGTGCTGTCATTATCCCCATGGAAAAGGCAAGGAAGCCACTTCCACATGCAGGCATGAGCCCAGAGCATTCAGCAGCACCCCGGAGGCCAGCACTGTAGGGAACAGTCGCAGGGATCCAGCCCTGCTCCTGCATCCCCAGCCCCCAGCAGGATTCTTGCACCTGGCAAGCTGGGATGTTTCGAAAGGCTGAAAGCCCCTCAGATGTAAGCAGGGTCTGCGGCTGCCTTCACTCTGCGTCACCCTTGTGAGCAGAAACTCAGTTTGAAGATGAAAAAGGCCACTCCAAAAGGTCACAGAGGTACCGTCATAGCTGTCCAGGGAAAAATTGCTGTGACGCTGTTGTACCTTGCATGACCAAGATGGAAATGCTGAGACAAGGCAGTTGGTTCTGTTCCTTCCTGATTGAAGCCTCTGCAGGTATCAGGGAGGGGTGGACTGTCACAGGTCTCAGTCCCCAAATGGAACCTGAGGCTGAAAATCTAGGCCTTGCCCCAAGAGTGCCCTGTCTGAAGACCTTGAGGACGCAGCTTGTCCTCTGGCTATAAAGTGATACGTGCAAGCAGTGCTGCCAGTGACCCAGACAGGACCAGCAACAGGCATGGATGCTGGGACACTCCAGTGTCTCCAGTGAGACATCCGTGCACAGTTCTGGTGTCCCATTTGCCTTCTACCTGTAGCTCCTGACCAAGGACCCCGACAGCCGCCTATCCAGCCTCAGCGACATTCAGAGTGCACCCTACTTGGCCGACATGAACTGGGACGCCGTGTTCGAGAAGGCGCTGATGCCTGGCTTTGTGCCCAATGTGAGTGGGGTCCTGTGGGTGGCATGCCACCCCTTGGCAGGCTGGGCGCTAAGCCGGGCCCCTGCAGCCGGCCAGGGAGCTGTCTGCTGGCCATGGCCACTGGAGCACCAGAGGGTTCACATTTCCCTGACAGGCGGGGTGACGTATCCCTGATTTTCAAAGTCTGCATCCTGCAGGGATCCTTTGGGTGCTGAGCCTGCTTGCTTTCATGGAGTGAGGCCCCATGTGCAGAGGTCTGGGCACTGGCAGAGCAGGCTGGTCTGCTGTCCTGACTGTCGAGTGGAGGAAGACAGGCTCTGAGCTGCCCGGCCAGGGAGCATGCAGAACGTAGCATGGGATTGTGTCTTGGCAGTTAGCACATGCAAGTAAGCACGGAGAGGGAGAGGCGCGGTGTGAGTGGAGAGGTTTGCTGCAGAGGAGGACACATTGTGGGGCTGCTGCTCCTTTGTTTTGTTTCGTGTTTTTCTCACTGGGGATTGAACCTAGGACCTCCACCCTGAGCTGCATCCTTGGCCCCTTTTACTTTTTATTTTGAGACAGGATCTTGATAAGTGATACACTGTTGAGTCGCCTGGGCTGGACTTGGACAACTCAGCCTCCTGTGATCCTCCCACCTCAGCCTCCCAGAGTGCTGGGGTGACATGCATGTGCCACCATGCTCAACTACTGTCTTAACTCTAGGACCCTCTGGAAGGCATCCTGTATTCCTAGGCTGCTTTCTTCAGGATGCCCACTCTGGACACGCCAGAGAAGTGGCTGGCACTTCCGTGGCCTCCTGCCTGCAGGTCCAGGGTCCCAGCTCTTGATGCGACCGTGCATGTGTACACACATCCTCACTCCTGCTTCCCCTGCCCAGTCCAGGATCTCTCAGGCTGTGTGCCAGGGCCCCCTGGAGCCAACACGTGACATTGTCAGTCAGTGGATGAGCCTACTGTGGATGAGGACCTCCCTGTGCTCCCCAGCCCCTCCAGATGCACACACTCACCCCCACTCAGACACACACACACTTGTACACCACCCCCACTTGTACACAGAGGCCTGGCCTCAGCCACGTGAGCTGCCTGCTGCCATCCCTGCTGTTGCTTGGCTCTCCCTGGGCCCAGAGTCTCCCTCTTCAGGGACACCCCCCCAATACCTGGGAGTCTCCTACCCCTCCCTTGAGATTCAGGTGAGGGTCTCACAAAGGCCTCCTGGATGAGAGATGCACCAAGTGTAACCTGTCCCCCACCTCCTTCCCTGCAGTGCATCTGAGCCTCTCACTGCCTCTGCACAGGTGGCTGGACCATGTTACAAGTGATGCTGTGTGGGTACAGCACATCTGCCATCACCTGGGGAGCTTAGGGGTGGCTGACTCAGTCTGGAGGGACCCCAGAGCAATGGTGGTTCTAAAGCACCAAGGACTCAGTGTGTGCTTGTCACGGGCGCCTGGAGTGGATAGTAACAGCCAGCGGGGCTGCACCTGTGCTCATGCTGGGCATTGTTCTAGGAGCATCACACTGGTCCTGAGAGGTGATCCTGCTAGTATTCTGGCTGAAGTTAAGTAGATTGCCCAAGATTACCTAGTAAGAAACCAATAGAAATTGAATTCAAGTAGACAAAATGCAGGAACCTCCATTGATGGGGATGGATGGATGGATGGATGGCAGGCAGGCAGATAAAACAGCCAGGAGAGACTTGCACCTGGAGTTGGAGCTACTTGTTGGAACAGGGCAAGCATCAGAGGACAGCAGCATGTAATAAGAGGAGGGAGGTCTTAGCCATGTTGCAGAAGTTGGTGGAGACGGAGGAAGTCCCACGACCCCCAGGGAGAGGAGAGCACTTGGCTCCAGGGGACCCAGTGAGGATTCCCAGCAGAAAGGTGAGACCCTGCCTCTAGGACCAAAGTAGCAGTGAAAGGATATAGGATATTACTCCACGGCGCTGAAGGAACAACAACCACAGCATAGCCCAGGCCAGCCAGGTTGCAGCAGCTTGGCTCTGGCCGGTGAGCTGGGCTCAAGCCTGGGAGCCCTGCAGGAGGTTCAAGGGCTGTGAAGCAGCAGGGGGAGCATCAGTTACGAAGGTCAGGCAGGAGCCGGCTCAGGTCTTCCCAGGGTTGCCGGGAGGGTGATGGCTCGGTGCACAGCCAGGGCGCCCAAGCCCAAGTCTGCATCCCGCCTCACTCATGGCCAAGCCGCAGGAGGTCCCGTCCCCTACAGGCTCAAGGACGGCTAGTTCAGGAGCATCTGCTTCCTGTCTGGCCTCGCAGAGCACTTGGTAGGGATGGTGTGACCCACCCTGGGGACAGGCCCTGATCTCCAGTCTGCAGGTGATGAATGGAGTCTGGGGAAGCCATGGGCCTGCCAAGGGGAAGGCAGCCCCACCGGGTCTCCCTCCATGGCTGCTCTAACCACCGGGCTGCCTTGCCAAGGGGATCGGCATCCTGGGACAGTCACCAAGAGTGGGCGTCAGGACCAAAAATGGCTCCCAGGACCCTGGGGCCCAGAAGTCAGGGTAGGGGGAGCTCTGGGCCTGAGGCATGGCCAGGCCTGAGGGATCGCTGGCTCCAGCTGTGGGGAAACAGATAACCAGGACAGAAAACCGGGCAGATGTTGACCGGAAATGGTGTTTTAATATTAAATTATTAAAAAAGAGAATGACCTGAGAATGCGTATATGACAAAATAACCAGCAAAAAATCAAACTGGAAAGTGGAACTCAATCTCATGTAAAAATCATGAATAGGAGTGAGACTAAGGCATGGTGACAGAGCGAGGCTGCTTGTGGAGGGGACAATGGCCATAAGTCAAGGATGGATGCAGGAATGTGTTGATTTTATCACCAGCAAGAAAATGTAATGGGTATTTCCTCTGGTGGTGGTGCATCATTATCTCAGGAGTGACTCAATTGTTGATTCAAAGAATGAAGAGAAAACTTAATGGCTGGTGACATACTGACTGACCATATCTTCTTTCCCTCTTCCCTTCAGAAAGGGAGACTGAACTGTGACCCCACGTTTGAACTGGAGGAAATGATTCTAGAATCCAAGCCACTTCACAAAAAGAAGAAGAGGTTGGCAAAACATAGGTCCAAAGATGGCACGAAGGACATCTGTCCCCTGGTGAGTTCCTCTCGGGGACAATTGTCAGGAGGGTGGGAAACAAAATACCGGCCAAGCCTCCTCTTTTGACCAAGGGGCCTTTCACTTCGCCCTTCCTCCTGAAGTCATCCCTCTGCCTCAGAGGTTCTGAGGATCTTGGGGATTGGTTCCAGCTACTCTAAGAGAATCAGCACTGGGCAACACCAGTAATCCTAGGACACCCAGTAGGAAGATTTTATACTGCAGAGGCCCGTTCTGCAGGGGCCTTAAGCGGCCCTGGCACTTTTGCCTTGAGGACCACTGACTTAGTGTTCCAGGCTAACAGCCAGCGTTCACAGATTGGTGGCTTCAAACAACCAGCATTTGTCCTCCCCCAATCCTGAAGAGAGGAAGTTCAGAATAGACATACCAGCCAGGCCCTGTGTTCTCCAAAGGTGGTGGGGCTGGGCCCTCCTCAGCTCTTCCAGTTTCTGGTGATTACTGGGGACCCTTGATGTCCCTCAGGGGGCAGCAGCACTGCCACCGTCTGCCTCCATCTCCACCTGGCCTGTCTCTGCGTCTTCACATGGTCTTCATACCAGGACACCAGTCACTCACTGTATGTCACCAGTCATCTGCTATGGCTATAATTACCCCTGCAAAGATCTAGTTCACATAAGGTCACATTCACAGATACCAGGGCTTAGCACCTGAACACATTTTGGGAGACAACATTCAATCCACAATAGTGCCCTCCTCTATAAAAAATAAAAAATTTTTTTATGACTGCGTTGGCATGGGATGAATATAATCTTCCATGCTGAAAGTTCCTTTTTTCCTTCTTACTTTAAAAGAAATGAAAACATCTTTCCAACCCCCAAAGGTCTCATGGATCCAAGGCCCTGGCTAGCTGTGCCCAGTGTAGAGCTGGCCCAGCGCGCCCTGCTGGTGTGTTCACAGGGCAGCCTGCTTCCTGCCCAGAGTGCAGTCCACAGCCCCACCCCTACCTTTCAGGACGCTTGGGGCACCTGTCAAAGTGGATCTGTGGTCATAAGGAGAACAAGGCCTTGCATGGTGGCCTTGAATTTCTTTTTGTCTGGTTGGTAAAGCACACCCAACGGACAGCCAAATGCCAAGAGACCCAGCCAGGACCTTCCGTCCTGACATGGCTTTTGCACTGACTTAAAACAGAAACAAATGCTGGCCTGCTGGCCTGCCAGCCTTCCCTGGGGTGCGGCTGCCCCTACAGTCAGCGCCTGTCCTGGCCCTTGAGGTGGTCCCCGACCCCGAGCGGTGACTCGTTTAGATCAGTCCTTGCCCTCTGGCCACACATGCCTGGACAATGCTGTCATTTCATCTCACTCTGTTCTTTGACAGAATGGGCACCTGCAGCAGTGTCTGGAGACGGTGCGGAAAGAGTTCATCATCTTCAACAGAGAGAAGTAAGACCTCCACTTCCCATCCACCATCACATCCACAGCAGAATCACAGTTCAGGCCTCCAGTGGAGGCTGCCCAAGGTTGGGAGAGAAAGGGAGGCAGAGTGAGACACAGGGCTCCGGGGGGCGTGGAACTACTGCATCTGTAATTAGACTGAGCTGGGGTGCAGTCCTGCCTCTGCTGTGGGGCCTGACCCGCCAGCCTCTGCCTGGGGCATTCTCAGTTGCCCAGTGACAACGGAGATGTCCCAGCACAGAGACCTGGGGCAGGAGCCCTCGTGGGAAGGCACTGGGGGCCTCTCAGCTCTGCCCCTGCCGGAGGGACCTGAGGCGGTGTCCTTAGCCTCACTGAACTTTCTGGCTGGTACCCACATGGAAGTGGCTCTCTTACAATACAGGAGTTGTAAAATTCACCAAGGCTGTTGATGGAGTGCTCAGAGGGGCAGGAGCACTCAGATGAATGCTGGGCCCTCATTACATACTTGGGTAAAGGGGCTGCAGTGTGCAGGTACCGCTGCACCGGGACTCATGGAAACAAGATGACACAGAGCCTGCAGTGCCTCTCAGGAGTCCGCCCTGGCTACCAGCTCCCCTACACAGGTGCTAGCCAGCAGAGGAAGTGGACAACTCAGGCTTAGCCTCAGCGGATGCTGGCATCTGGGGATCCAAATACCTGCAGCTGATTTACCAGAGCAGGGTGTGGATGTGGTGACCCTATTTGACCCGCCCTCTAGTCAGGCTATGGACTTGCAGATGGCTCAGAGATGGTCCTGCAGGCTCAGATGGAGGTCAGGACCAGTTTGACCCTGATGCCGTTGCCCATGTTCACCCATTTTTGGCCCTTAGCAGGTGACCTTTAGCAGGGACGGGAAGTCCAGGCAGTGGGTCTCAGAGCTGGCTCCTGGGGGAGGTGTGGAGCTCCCAGGCTCAGCTGTCCTGGGCCAGGCATTTGAGAAGTAAGAGCAGCACATGGAGAAGGGGGACCGCATGGCAGAGTCAGGCACCCACTGGGGGAGGGAAGCTTGGATTCTCCCTCCCTGAGCTTGTAGGGTGTGGACACTGGGAGGCTAGGGGCAAGGCAGGCAGGACAGAGCAGACCCGGGGAGGTAATGGAGGCAGCAGCCTGTCACTCATGCCATGGAGCTGCAGCTCTGCTGGCTGGTGGGTGCCAGGTCAGCCCAGACACACGTCCCAGGCCCCACCTGCCAGAGGACCACAGCTCCTGGTCCACTGTTCAAGCCACAGAAGGGACTTCCGCGGGGCATGGGGAAGTGGGGCTGCTGTCACGAGTGGATCTGAACTCCCCACCATTCAGCCAGCTTTGAGAAACTCAGCCTGGAAAGCTCCACTCAGAGATCTCTGTTCAGGTCTGCACTGTGTGCTTGCATGGCCCAGCTTTGGGTCAGACATCCAGCCAGCAGAACCGAGCACCACAGAGATGCCTGGCTAGCAAATGGGGGTCTGTGTGGGCTGAGGCGAGGGAACCCAAGCACCTGGCAGCAGCAGTTCACGTTTTGCTGTGTGCCAGAAGAACCATTTCCCTTTCAAAGAAAACGAGAACAAACTATCCCTCCTGTGTCGTTCAGGGGCTGTATCTGTCTGTGCTGAGCAGAAACCCAGCTTTATAGTAGCTCCAGCCAATCCCATGCTCCCTTCTTGGGTGGAATTTGCTGATCAGGGAAATGCAGAGAATCACCCAGCTGTGCCGAGGACCCCTGTGAGATGTGTAATGAGGCTGGTGCAGGGTGTAGGATTTGGCAAAATCAAGGAAGAGAGAGCAAGTCACTTTCCAGACAGGGCAGTGGGCAGAAGCATATCTGCAACCGCAGGATGTGATTGTGGGGACACTGTCCCACGGGGTCTGGCCCGGGGTTCCTGCTCCTCCATTACAGCCTCATGGCTCACTCAACTGCTGCTTGGTGGCCCTGAAGGCCCAGGCCACCTGTCAGAGCAGGTACACCCCTCCTGTCTACCATATAAAGGGGCAAAGGTGGGAGGGCTTGGCCTTGGCACCTCAAGACCTCATCCTGCTCCATTGCTTGGGAAGGGAGACACATTCTCTCCATCTACAACCTTCCCTGCTAGTTTCTCAGCTGTAAAAATAGCTATGAGATGTCACAAAACCAAGAGCTCATACTTTAAACCAAGAATGAAGTGGAAGTTTTCATCCCTTTCTTCTTCCTGCAATCCCACCTTTGAGGAATGGGCTATGTTGGAAAATTAGATGGAGTGCCTTCTTCCCAAGGTCTGCACTGTGGGGGCACAGAGGCGGGCTGTGAACCATGTGCAGCTCCTTTTATTCTCCACAGACCTGGTATATTAGTCACTTTTCATTCATTGGGATAATATACCCAGCACCTATAATTTAAAGGAAGAGAGGTTTATATTAGTTCATGGCTTCACTGGGCTCAGTTCACACCTGGATAGCTCCAAGGATGTAAATCTGGCTAAAGGCAACTACAAGTACTCATGCCACAGGCTGAACATTGGGCTGCCTTGAAATTTGCTCTACCAGATTAATTAATCCATTGCCCTTAATCTCAGTTTCCCACAGAATTTCAGGACACAGACAAAATGTAGACAAATTTTCTGCCAGGGCACAGCAAACCTAGTCTTCAGTGCCAATGGAGTCCTTGTTTCCAATTGAAACTTCCTGATCTTGGCCTTTCTCATCTGCATTTTTGTCGTAATTCTAGTCTTCTGAGCTCCAACAGTCCTGTCATGTTTAGCTTACAGCATTCTAGGGCTTCTCTAGCCTGCATCTCCAAGCCTTTCCAAACTCCTACCACGAACCACTTCCAAAAGGCTCTGAACCACATGATCAGGTACAGCCACTGTGGTGATCCCACATCTCCAGTACCAGTTTCTGTCTTAGTTATCTTCCCCTTGCTGAGACACAATACTTGAAACCCACAATTTAAAGGAGAAAAGGCTTATTTGGTCACAGTTTGTAGAGGTTTCTGTGCATAGTCTACTGGCTGTAAGGCAGGGTGGCATAGCAGAGGGGTCTGGAAGAGGAAAGGGGGCTCAGATCATGGCACCAAGAAGCAGAGAGAGAAGGGAGGAGCTGGGGAGAAGACTATACCCTTCCAGTCATGCCCCAGTGACCTAACTCCAACTAGCCCCACCCCCTAACAGTGCATTTAGCTGTGGATGAATCCACTGGCAAATATCGTGCTCCGCTGATTTGATCACCTTCCAAACATCTGAGGCTTTGGGGGCCTATTTTAGACATAAGCCATAAAACCTGTGAAGTCAGCAAAGAACCTGGAGCAGTGCAGTTACAAGCAACACCAGCAGCCACCAGCAGCTGGGACAGAGGCCTGGGACAGATTCTCCCTCAGAGGGGACCAGCTCTGCCAACACCTTGATTCTGTCTTCTGGCCTCCAGAACTGTGAGACAGTCATTTCCTGAGATTTTCATCCAACCCCACTGGCGGTATTCTCTTATTGCCCCTCTCCCTGCAATAAGTTTGAACTATATCTTCTAAACCAGAAACAGAAAGAGCAGGCCTGGGGTTTGCATTTTAACCTGCACTCAAAGTCGTTCTGAGGCATGGTGCTTTGTGGACTTCTGCAGGAGACCACGATATTCAAACAGTGCATCCTCTACTTAGTTCTGAGCCGAGTCACAAGGACCCAGTGGAAAACTGCCTACCGGCCTAGCTCTGTGTCCCTTACCCAGGAGTATCCATCTGCAAGTCCCAGCCTTGTTGGCTGCAGGACATTCCCTGGGCCTCATCCCCCTTCACAACTCAGGGTCTCTTCCATGGACCAAGATGCTTCCCCTCCCGCTGGAGAAAAATCTTGGACAGAGATGGTCCCTATATAATATTCACTGTGATGAAGGAGCCTTCATTAGCACCAAGCAGCAAGTGAGAGCCAAGGAGACTTGGGCAGGACATCAACCACCCCAGCCCCAGTAGGAGATCTTCATTCATTGTGCAACAGATATGTCATAACCCTCGACTGGGCCTGGGACACAGAAGAGAGTCTAGTGGGATGGTGTCCCCAGGCTGCCATAGCTTGCAGGGGGTCAGTGACCACATACTGCAGGGTGTGCTGGGGTGCACACACCATGGCCTACTGCGGGAACATGAAGACATGGTCAGGTCGAACCTCTCTGACCTTAGTTTCTAAATGGAGAACAAAATTACAATCAGTACCACCTAATTTTCTGGCAGTGCAGCTTTTATTGGCTAATGATTTCAGCTGACAAAAGGCCACCGAGCCAGGTGGTGTGTCTTGTCCAGGGACTGGTCAGGGCTCTGAAGGCCATAGCAGCTGAGGCTTCTGTTCATCTGGCAAATGTACTTTTGGGCTTGTCCCTTCATTTTCGGTCAAGGACCTGAGCAGGTCCACACCATTTCATAAAGAACCACAGACTATGAAGGCCCTGATGAAAACAAGACAAGTTTCAGGAGTTGACTTTTCTATCTTTGTTATTTCTTAAAGAAAAAAATAATTTTAAATCACGTTATATTTGCCTTTGGAGCCCTTGAAAGCATTACATGTCAAAAACCTAATATTGCATTCAGTACATGCCATAGGATTATGAAAACTAACCAACATTAGCGTATGACTTTATGGTTTTAGATTTTGTTCCTTTGATAGGCCTTCTGGACTCACCGCTGCTGGTTTCTGATGAAAATTTGTCACCAGTTCTTGGCTCTAGCGGTGTTCTGTGCTTTGTAGGATATTTCACAGGTCTCCTGGCTTCTACCCACTAGAAACCAGTAACATCTCCTTGATATGACATGCAAGAATATCTTCAGTCATTATGTTGCAGGCCAAACCTTGACCGTATTGCAGCGGATAAATAGGTAAGGCCACCTTCTGTGTGTGAGGCTCCCGGGAGTCACCTGCAGCCATTGTCTCATTCTGTTCTCATCACAGCTCTATCAGCAGGGGTTTTTATACCCATTTCTCAAGCATCAAAACTGATTAAAACATAATTCTTTGTTTTTTTGTTTTTTTTTTTTTGGTTTTTCTCTGGTACCGGGA